ATCTAAATATGGATCCAACCATTAATTTCTACCCAATCCAACTAGAAAACTCATATAAAGAGTAAATTTATAAACTAGGTCCATTTTCTCTTTTCTTCTGCGATGGGAATTTTTCTCATTCTTCAAGAACATAGCTAAGATTTTTTGAATTTCTAATTCTATGTTTAAAAAGACGTTTCATCAAAAGACTTACTCCTTGCTCTTGGTGGCTTGTTAGATTTTTGAGAATCAATTTGAGGGTGCTTCCCTTTGCAGACCAAACATTTTTCAAACCTGCAAGATATGTTCTGATTTTTTCAAACTTCTCACCATTGTGTACTTTATTTTCATGAGAAACCTCTTTCTTAATGTCCGTTATATTGCACCAAACTATCTTAGTCCAAAATCAATTATCGACTTATGAATATTTTGGGTGTTGCATTTCATATCCATTATTGTATAGTTGCTGAAATGAAGTGTCAATATGTCCAGATCAATTCCACAACTATGCATACTTAAGGAATTTCTTGGAGAATTTATCTATGAGGTAGAAAGTGACAGGTTCTTCATAATTGTTATAAAAAATTGAATCATGTATTTTACTTATTTGGATCTTTTGATTCATCTATCACAATTTTTTTTGACCTTGAATCAATGTTTCTTTTATGGACAGAAACGCAAGGGGAATTGGAGATTCTAGATGGGGCGAGTGATTAATAGGTGGATTCGGGTGTGGGTTGGGATTTAATTTGTTTAGATTTTCCAACGAATCACAGGCTGCCATGTATTAAATGAAAACTCTAATTATATTTGTTAATGGAGTTGTTTGTGATAAGAGCATTATAGGGCCATAAGACATCAAGGATATTATAGAGTCAATAGGTTAACGGAGGGTATTTTTGTATCATTTCCAATAGTTCAAGGGTATTTTGAGCCCTTTTCCGATTGTAAATTACAATAATTAAGGAGTTTTTCACGCACAGTGAACGGTTGTGCAAGCACTGCAAATTCCACATGGATCGGAAAGGAAATACCACTTTGAACAACTATAGAAGGTAAATAGAGGACCTCGTAAAAATTTAGTGTTTTTTTTTTTTTAAAAAAAATTGAGTAGTAGTTTATGGAAGTCTTTATGTATTCTCCCTTATGAGAAATAAGAGGATTAGATGAATAATTATAAAACACAAACCTATTTATGAGTCCACATATTCTATTGACCAAAGAATAAGATTTTAGACGTGTTATGTATAATATTTGATTAGTAGATTGTGTTTGACTAATCCCCTTGTACTATCTAAGTTTACTCAATTTTGTACTAACAAAAACTTTTGGCCCAGTCATACTCATATGTCCCCTTCCATTAACGGAGTTCCATCATGAGGGGGTTGGGGCGCACGTACACAAATTTTCTTTGAGAAAATGAGCCCAAATTTACACGACTTTTGACTATGTTTTAAAATTGCTCTTGGTTCTATCGCAGTAAAGTGTGTTATAAGTTTCAAATCTTGTTGGATGTGTTTTGACATCACAGGCTTTTCCACCAAGAAGCAAGAATGGAATATGGAGTTCAATAAGACGATCACACATAGAACATAACCTTGATGGTCTCACTCTTCAAGAAGTAAGTACGTTTTAGACTAATTACATGGTCATTTTGAAGGAACTAACCCATGAAACATCATCCGATGGAGGAAAAGATAATATCCATGAATGTTGCTGGAAAGAGCTTCAACAAACATTGAAAATTTCATAAAGAGTTCAGTTCAATTTTGCAGGCAATGAACCAATGGAGGATTTTCATCTTGGACCACCACAACTATCTCATGCCATTTTTAGGAAAAATAAACAAAAATGGTGTGTGCGCCTATGCATCCAGGACTCTACTTTTCTTAAAGGATGATGACACGCTAAAGCCACTTGCTATAGAACTAAGTTTACCAGGGCTTTCACGTGGCACTGAGATTCAGAGGGTATTTCGTCCAGGGGGCAATGGATCAGAGGCAGCCTTATGGCAGTTTGCTAAAGCTCATGTGGGAGTGAATGATTCTGGTTATCATCAGCTAATCAGCCATTGGTAAAATCACTAAAATCACGTAGCAATTGCCATGTCATTGAGCTTCCAAATTTGACTACTTCCATTATTCATGGGTATATTAAATTGTAGGCTAAAAACTCATGCCGTTGTAGAGCCATTCATTATTGCCACCAGAAGGCAGTTGAGTGTTATGCACCCAATTCACAGGTTATTGGATCCTCACTTCAAGGACACTATGCATATTAATGCATTGGCTCGAAGTACTGTCTTAAAAGGTGGAGGAATCATTGAGAAGACCCTTTATTCTGGTGAAGTATCTATGGAACTATCTTCTTCACTCTACAAGGATTGGAGATTTGATGAGCAAAGCCTCCCTGGTGACTTGCTGAAAAGGTATGCTAGCAGGAGATATGAACTGAGTGACCTAACAAATTGTTTGGTATACGAATATACGTGTCTTCATGAAATTATTTTTCAATGTTAGTCATCTCAAATTGTTGAAAATGCTTTCTCCAACAAAAAAAATTCCATCAAAAGAAAGAAAACTACATTTTCCACTTATGGGTGAAAATCTTCTTATTTTCCACAACTTTTTTTTTATGACAAGGGAAACCCGCAACTGCTTTCCTTTTGCGTGCACACATGGTAAAAAACCCCGCTCCTATGCAATAGCTCGCAAATCACATAGAAGAGGTAACCCGCACTAGGCAAACCTGGAGCGACGAGCTCGATCCAGAAGGCAAACTCCTTACTTTCGCCGGCAAGAGTTTCGAACTTGAGACCTCCAACATGGAAGTCCCAAGCTTAAACCTTCATCATTTTTTGATGTATCCTAATTCTTACTCCAAATCCATGCTTTAGGCCAACAACTAGACACTATTACTAACTTTTCATACTCAGAATTGTCACTAGAGAACACCATTTTCATACACTATCTTCCAGTTTCTAGACACTATTACTAACTTATCATACTCAGAATTGTCACTAGAGAACACCATTTTCATACACTATCTTCCAGCTTGTATAATAGTACCATATTTCAGCTAATTCTATATTAGAACATACATGGAAAATGATCCAGAATGATTTCCCAAAGTAAATATGATAACATTTTTCTCCTTTTTTTTTTTTAGATAAAATAAATAATTGAAAACATTTTTCTCCATCATCCCTAAATCTGCTGATGTACATTATAGCTACTATTACTACTACAATATAACACATTGATTAAACTCGCAGAGGCATGGCCTTCCATAACCCAGATTGCCTGGCTGGCGTTCAGCTTCTCTTTGAAGATTATCCATATGGTAGAGATGGACTAGAAATTTGGGTAGCAACAAAGAGATGGGTAAATGATTATTGTCTACATTTTTACAAGGATGATAATTCCCTGAGATTTGACCATGAGATCCAAGAATGGTGGTCGGAGATTAAGAAAATTGGCCATGGAGACAAGTGTAATGAAACATGGTGGTACCCAATGACTACTCTCTCTGACCTAGTAGAGGCTCTCACAACCCTTATATGGATTTCCTCAGGTCTTCATGCTTCAGTTAACTTTGGACAATATGAATACGTGGGTCATCCACTAAATCGCCCTATCAAATGTCGGAATTTCATCCCGATGGAAGGGACAAAAGAGTTCGCAGAGTTTCTCCATGACCCAGATAAGTTCTTCCTCAAGATGTTACCCAACAGCTCTGAAACTACCCTCTATATGGCACTATTAGAGGTACTCTCGGCGCCTACATCTGATGAAGTATACTTGGGTCAACAACAATCTCCAAATTGGATAGATGATGTATGGGTAAAGCAAAGGTTTCAGCAATTTGCAGAGGAACTGAACAAAGTGGATAAAAGGATAGTTGAAAGAAATGCAGATCCCAAACTTAAGAACAGACGGGGCCCCTCCAATATACCATACAAGCTTCTGCGCCCTGCGGTCTCCAATGTTAAATCATGTCAGGGTATCACAGCTATAGGGATACCTAATAGCATATCCATGTGAATCACTATTATAAAATAATCTATCAATGAGTGTCTCATAGGCCTTTAGTGTAAGTACAACATCAACATACCCCATGTAAAGCCTCTGGTATAAACAAATGTAAATACTTACAAAAAATAAAAAAGGACAGACAGAAGAGCCTTAACAATCTCCTAATGCTCAGGAGTCGTTTGGTTTGAATTCAAGTTATGATGGGATCAGTTATAATTGAATAAGTTATGATGGGATTAGTTATGATAAGATTAGTTATGCTAAGATTATTTTTTTATTGAGTTTTCGGTTTGTTGCATTCAAAATAATAAATCTTAAGAACATGTGTTTACAAAATTACCCTTCATGAATGTGAAAAGTAATTTATAAAAAGTGTTTAAAGGGATATTTTTGTCATTTAGTCATTTTATCCTGGGACAAGTTATCCCGATATTACTATAACACCCAAGGGAAGGGATAACATATCCTGGTACTAATTATTAGTCTTGGGATAACTTATCTCGAACTTGCCAACCAAACAACAAATTAAGTGGCAATATCCTTCACACCAAACGACCCCTTATAGTTCACACAGCAAGTACTATTTTGACAAATTTAAGTGAAGAAAAAATCTTGGAACTCCAAATAAACATTGAGAGCATTTTATCCATGAGAACACAATCACATGAAGAACATTTTTCTTTTTCCTTTATACAGAATAGGGTTACAGGATTTGACAGCTTAAAAGATGAGCCTTTAGCTAAATATAGGGGCAAAATCAGACCACAAAAGTATAACCTGCTCAACCCTCAGGCTTGAGTGGTAGGGGCTAAGAATATATTCATAGATGGGTCGACTTGGGTTTTGCCGATATTGACCCATAAAGCTTGGATCAACCTGAACCAACTGAATTGCACAAATTCAGCTCCCCACCCCCGATCCCCAACCCACTACACACACAACAACAAGAAAAATACTCCTAGACAAATGAGCCCAAATGCACATGCATGAGCTAGAACAGATAGAACTCAAAATGAAACATTGCAAGCACTAAATCCATAAGGATATCAAACACAGCAAAAGCATTTTGCTATTTTAGTTTACATAAGAGCCATATGGTTGGAGAGCTGGGAAGATGAGTCCTGCTGGAATAGTTCTAGCTTGTCTCTATCTATAGAAGCTACATCTCTGTTCATTCAAAATCTGTTAACTGCATGCCAGAGCCAATTCATCAACTTATCATTGCTACAATCTCTGTTGATAAATCCACATGCCAATATAAACAGTTGTAACTTCCCATTATTCAGTTATTGCACTGAAATGATAGAAAGAAAAGCTATAACAAAAATGCAACATCATGCAGCAGTAACATAAGAATATGATGTGACCTTCAGGGTGGAGGGCATTCAAATTTCGGCTTTATTTATGCTCAATCATGGCATTGGGTTCACTATTTAGTGGAAGCACCGGCCTAGCAGAGTAAAAGGTGCTGCATCTACTTTAGAAGGATTTCCCAACACCATATCAGCAATCATTTCCGCTGTTCCGAGAGCCTGGTAAGAGAAAAGATTGCCCACAAATCAACTTAGAAGAATATAAGAACTCGGAAAGTCAGCAAGAACAGCTGACTTCAAATTAAAATGAATGGGACAATATTTATAAGAAAATGATGTCTTTCAGTTTATCTGCAGAAGCAGATCAGAGAAAAATACCAGTGATAGTCCTTCTCCTTCATGCCCCGCAGCAAGAAAGACGTTTGAAAATCCAGGAACAAGCCCAATGACAGGCTTCCCGTCAGGAACTAAATCAAAAAACAGTCGAGCTCATGAGCAAGCTTGCAACTTTGCATTATGTTAGGAGTTCAGACATGATTGCTACAAGACAAGTTTCTGGATTTCACTTACTGTAAGGTCTAAGTCCTATTCTAACTTCTCTGCTTTCACGCAAATCTTCAAGAGATTCATGTCTTAAAGCAGGTATGAACTCTCCAACCCGCTGCCATATGTGGTTGATGACAGATTCATCTACCTCTGTGTTAAACCCAACAAGTTGTCGGCTACTCCCTGCAAGAAAAGATCTTGGTGAATAGACATGAGTGAAGATTTATATAAACCACAGTTACCTTCAACGATTCAAATTTTTTTTAAAAAAAAATGGATGAACAGAAAGAAAGCTTGCCAAGCCATGCGATTATGATTACAAATTTTCAGCAAGTTGTTAAGATGACATAAAAGGAAGCACAAAATGGATATTTCCTTTTCCTTCCATTACAATTTTATTCAATATAAATGGACTACCAGATACCATACAATGGGAAAAGTGCCCGCAGCTACCAAAATTAAACAGGTTAAAGGTTGATCCTTTTTCCGAGAGAGCACATCTGTTTAGCTTTTCAAAGGAGTTTTAGCAGAAAGTTATTTCAGAAAGTTTTTTCAATGGAGAGAAGCTTTGAAGGTATATTTCCATTTAAAAGCTCTTCTTCCACTCACAAATCCTCAAAGAACTACGACTATTCAAACACAGTTTTCTTTTGCACAAACTTATCCCCGAAAATATGTTTTCAAACAACTTTGGAGAAAGTTGTCTAAACGGCTCTAGATATCATGAATATTATATCCGAGAAGTTAGCCAAGACATGCAACAAGAGATATATCCTAGTTGGATTTACCATACCTTCAAATAATATATGAGAAACTAGGCAAAGATCTATGTTAAAAATACAAGTTGTAGACCTAAAACAAATAAATAAAATAAAGTGCCACCTCTTTAGCAAATGTAAGATTAGCCAAAGATAGAAAACACCAGAGGAAAATATGCATAGAGCTGATATCTACTAACGCGAATAGGTTTTAGCCTTGATAGTACGTTGATTTTGAAACTATTGCTTTTTTAGGAGTAATTTGACCTTATCGTGGACGTTTATGTCAGTACAAATATGCAGAACTTTTCATAACAATAATAATAATAATTGTTGAAGTGTGTGACCATCTCATCTAAAGCTTAAGCTGTTAGAGAGAGCACATTTTTATTTTATTCTCAACACGCCCCCTCACGTGCGGGCCTGATTTTTTTCCATGGGCCAAGCACGTGAAAATTCTCTTTGATATGGTTGGCGGTAAGATTCGATCTCAGTAACTCTGCCTACTCTGGTACCATGAGAAATTAGAAGAAGAAAAAAGAAGAAGAGGAGATATTGGGAATTGAATTGATTGATCATTCCCTCAAGTTGATGTGTCTTGTATGGAAGAAATCGCAGATGCTTTGATGGGATCTCAACTCTAAGCTATACTCTAAAAACTAAATGCTACTTACTGTCTCCTGTTAATAGTGTTGACAGTTTTTGGGATCTTGTTAGCTCTTTGATCGAAGCTTACTCGTGTATGAGAACAAACTCTCTTTCTTTGTACACTTTTGCCATTAGCATCACCCTGATGCTCTTTAATGAAATCCTTTTCTTCATAAAAAAAAGCACGTCGTTTGGTTGGGAACAAGTTATCCAAGATTAATCATCCCGGGGTTAGCTATCCTAGGATAAGTTATCCCACCATATTTTTTAGATAACTTATCCCATCATATGGTATAAATGGTGGGATAAGTTATCCCAAACTTGACAACCAAATAAGAGACCAAAATTTTATCCCTGGACTATTTTTTATCCCAAGAGTATTTATTTGTATTCCTCACACCAAAACGACTCCTTAATACTTTGCATTATAAGGGAGGAAAAAGGGTGCTATGGAGCTTGGAACTACTCACATCTAGCTGAATTGGGTTAGACATACTGGTTGTGGGTAAAACACAGAAGGATTCATAATTCAACAACAGGATATAGTTTACCAAGGACGAGATTGCCTGATGCATCCATAGTTGCCGTCATTGAAACAGACAAATCTTGTGCATTATAGACAGGCCCTGAATCAGATGAAGTAGCTTTAAGGGTTGCCGACTGATGCTTGGTATAACCTGCCTCCATAATTCCATGATTCAGCTTGAATGACTTGAAATTCTCTATCACAAGCAAGTGACCCTGTTTACAGAGGCAAAATATAGCTTCACTTGTAAATATCAAATATATAGGGTTGAATCTATTGAAAAGTAGGCACAAGAAAAGGTTTCCAGCAAAAAGTTTATGACAAGGAGGCAGATCCATACATAGAAAGATTAATCAAATTGCCATCATACATTACATGCTTCTCTTCTGGCCGTCAGTTTTCACCTTTTCTATATTAATATTCACTTAATGACTTCCCTATTTGAGGTGGATAGGTTTAGAAGGGAACTCTTGAAAAATATGTACATACAGACACAATCGAGAACCTTGGATTCTTTTAAGGCTGATTTAGACAGACAGACCATTAAGAGCATTGGATTCTTCTAACTGCTGAGTGTCTATCTTGAGCTTGTAAAACAATATCTCATTTGAAGTTAATAAACAGCTAAAGGGATAAAGGAATACAGATTCCATGCGCTGAGATGAGAAGTCTTGGAGCAACTTTTGATTTCATTTCTCTTCTCTCTTTTCATGCTCTTCCTTTTTGTTTCCAGATTTAATTTTTAACTAGGGTTATGTAGCAACCCCTCCATAGAATTAATGGATATATGAATTAACAAGAAACTGATCCACAGGAAGGGGTAGGCAGGGATCAAACAAAAGTTGACAAGAAAGAGTAGTTCATACAGTACCAGGTGAGCATCCAGTCACATACCCACAAATACTCACATGTTTACTTTTAAATATCGTATGAATTAATGTTGCCTAATATCCAGGACCTGAAAACTAAATTAGGCAAAACAAGGCATCAGCTGAAGTTAAAGAAATGGTCTGAAGCCCTAACAGAGAGGGACGAGTAAGAAATGGTGGCTACAGAGTACAGATTAGCATATGCATGTGAAGAACCAAATCAGACACGACTCTCCCAATTCAACCCCCCACCCTCACCCAATCGGCAGGAGAAGAAAATGAAGTTCTTAATAATATAGTGACAATAATGTAAACAATGACAGAGTGCCAAGAAAGAAATAAGATATAACAGTAATGGTCTGGTTTGGGCTGGCATATGAGCATCAGCATGTGAATGGGTGTATTTCACCCTAGTTCACTTCCATGCATCCCCTCCTCCATCTGATGTACCAATTGGTTGTAGTTATGGGATAGATGACTAGAACTTGTGCATCTATAAACATTCAACAAACAATATGGTTTTCTTTGAAAAATATTTAAATCTACTTTTCTTTTAACCCTTTATTAGATCCTCAATAAGAAAATAAGATAACAAACAAATGCAACAAAATAAATAATTCAATGGGCATGTTACATCTTATCCAAAACCTTTCGAGGCTTTATGGGAAGGTCGAGGTCAATATCTGGTTGCTTAATCAGGTCGTGCATCAAAGACCCAGTCCAACAACCTGCTGCAATCACAACAGCCTTCTTACTGTGCAATGTATTCTTGGAAGTTTGAATAGCTCCAACCTCGCAGCTATTTCCATGTCTGAATTTATTAAATTTATTATTAGTGATCATACTGACCAGAAAGAGTTCAAACATCAGTAAATATGGAAACTGTCAAACCTAACTAATCCAATAGCGGGTTCATGATAAAATTCAGCATATCTCCCTTCCACAGCAAAATGCCTGTTACCCTGGACAATGATAAAAAAATCAAGTAATTATCAATTTGAGAATATATAGGATTTGTAAGATAGCATGAAAGCTTATTCCTAAAGAATGAATCAAAGTGGAAGAGAGAGGAAGAAAGATAGAAAGAAGGAAAGGGAACAAACCTTCTCAATAAATGCAACAGTACGATGAGCGTCTAATTGGTAATCATCCGGGAAAAAAGCTGCCCCACCTTCCTTCTCAACCACAAGTTCCGGTTCTTCTGATAGCAAGTCATTGGAGGACAAGAACTCAGCTCTCAATCCCTCCTGTGATAGCTCCTCCACCCTCCTTTTTAATATTGCTGACTCATCTGTTGTTTTACTTACTAAAAGGCTTCCTATCAGATGATAAGAACTTCACTCAGTGGTTTCCCCTAAAATCTTTAATATGATGGAGTGGAATTGTAACGATAATTACAGAAGAAAGGTTTTCCCTTAGCCTATGCATGTGAAATAGGTATAAGGAATCACATGGACAAGACTCAAGAAAGAGAAAACACCACACCCTCCCTCTAAATGAGGAGATATCAAAAAAAAATTGCTTTCTAAATTGCATTTTACAGAAAAAGGGATGTATACTGAAAAAAGGGAAATGGAAAGTTGCCTTCAATGGACACTGGAGAAAATCCACATTGTTAGTTGTAAAAAAATTAGACCTTAGGCATACCTCACCAAAACTGCTCATGCAATGAGAATTTCCCAAGAGCATATAAGGATATACTTCCTATTCCCTCAACTAAAGTGAAACAACGATCTAACCCCCACCCTTCAGGCCTATCAACTAAAGTGTGAATGACATTAATGGGGTCCCAGCATTGGGTAAACCAAGAACAGGGATGGGTTTGGCTCTAATATGGTGCTCCCATGTTAAAGAAAATGGACTTTGGGCCTCAATCAATCTGAAAAGTTAGCTCTTGAGATGGAAAGTTCTCAAGACTATATAAGGAGACAACGACTCATTCCTTCAACCAGTGTGGGACAATTCAACTATGGAACAGGAGAAAAAAAATGAGAGAAACTCAGCTTGATTATTCCTCAAGCAGTCAAGTTATTGGGATTTAAGTAATTACATGTCCTAAAAAGGAAAGGAAATCAACACCAGGAAATAATTAAGCTACCTACCATGATTACACATATTCTAGAATATTCACAAAGAATCCAAAACTAACAATTTAAACAGACTGAAAGAATGTTTGGGGTCTCTGTTGTCAAAAAGTCTATCAAAAAGAGAAAGACTCAACAAATATGAGGTTCCTTTAACTTTGGCATTTACCAGAACTGTCTCAATCCTGAATCTTCCTGACTGGTCACTGATGTTCTAAAATATACCACCTTTTGTCATTTCGAAATGAATTTTCCAGAAAAAAAAAAGGAAAAATATTCACAATTTAGTATGCATATCATTAAGGAGGAACATACCTCCTCAGTGTTGAAAATGTTTTTTTCTAAAAAGACAGGAAAATAATGTGATATTTCAGCATTGATCCATCCGATTCTAACCCCTTTGGCTGCTTTGTAGAGCTAAAAACCTCATTGGTCAGAATCATATCCACCTTCGATTTCGAGATAATCTCCTTATATTTATATTGCATAAGCTTCTAGGTAACCACCAGTTCACGGGCATCAAACATAAAAACAAGATAGAACAGAAAACAAGACATATAACATGATAAAGGTCGGCCCATTCCTAAAGTCATAAAGAAGCACCCGGTGGATGTAAGTTGACTAAAGATAGTGGCAGTAGAATGACTGAAAGCAGATATTAGGAAGGATATAAATCACCTGTTTTCTTCCAGCCAAGTACCTCTAAAGGATCCATCCCTTGAAGTTGAATTCTCTTGGCTAGGCTCTCCCATAATTGGTGGCTTCTCATCATTAAGTCCCATTTCTCAGTACCGGGTGTTTTGTGTGCTTTCCATATGTATCCTTGACCTAGAATGGTAAACCAGCTCAAATGAGAAACAATAAAGAAAATCTACAATCAATCACTCAACTCACTGGGAACAATAGGAATATCAGCAGATAGAGATGTTCTCCATAATTCTCAAGTGAGAGAATAAGGAATTACAACACTTGTAGTACTTATTATAGAAACAAATAAACTCTTCAACTTAAGTGTTTGACAGACCATTGACCTACTTATTCAGTTGATCTTTGTGGTTAATCTATCTTCAATCAGTACACTAATATAGCTCGTTAATTGACTAAACTCAAGATTGATAGCATACTAAGTTAATATATACAGCATACTAAACCTTGAACCCAAACTAGTAGGTTTCGGCTATAGAACAATAACTACTACCACTACTACTTCTCCATCCCAAACCTAGTTGGGTCAGCATATAAATCCTCAATATCCATTTTGCAGTATTTGGCCCATTTCATTCCAATGTATAAGATCTTCAATACACTTTTACCTGCTCCAGTTGCGCCAGAGCAAGGAACAGCAGCATCAACTAGGGCGACGGAGAGATCTGAGGCAAGGAGCAAGTGGCGTGCGATGGTCAATCCAATGATTCCGGCACCAACTATGACAACATCGAAGGAGTTAGACGCCGAAGACTGACTCGAATTCGAAACTCGAAGTGATCCATGCCAACATTTTTTACTTCGTATCAATGAAAAAGGTGGACTTGCAAGGGTCCTGCGGCCACAAAATTTTTGATTTGAGAGTAAAAGATGTGAGTGTAATTTGTTTGGGGGAGGTGAAAGTAGGCCATTGGTATTGATATTAGAGTTTATAGAAATTTTGTAGCACATTGCTGCCATTTTTGTGGATTTCCTGTTTCAGATTGCTTTTACTGTCAGTGTGCAAACGTTGAACACTTGCATCACCGAACAGCCAGGACAGAGAAGAAACGGCAGAGAACGAGGGAAAGATATTAACAAGTGTTGAAATTAAAAAATATATGTTTCATTTTCTTACTTTTTAATTTGTAAAAAATAATAACATATTTTTCATTATCCTAATTCATCAGTTCTCCTTAAAATTGGCACCAAGCTTTACTTAGATATTTTAACTAAAATTTTGTTCATTTTAGATATCTTAGATTGGGTTTTCTTATGTCATTTTTTCATTATTTTAATTTTTAACAATTATTCAAAAATATAAAGTGTGTGCAATACGCTTATTTGATAACGTGTCATAGTGACGAATTAAACAAAGACACATGTAATATATATAAAAAATAATTCTAAACTAATAACATATGACACTTGAAACTCAAATAATAAATATGTTTCAAAAAGAAATTCAACACTTTTAATTTTCAAGAAACTCACCTATCTTCTTCACCCAACCAATCCAGACGTCTTCTCCACCTCCACACATCCCAACCCCAACTGCTCCTCCACCCCCCATTAGATTGTCCATCCACTTTACCCCACCCGCCCCAACCTCAATCCTTTTTTTCACTCTATCGTCTTTTCAAGAAACACTTTCAAAAGAAGTTAATGATATTGAAAAAAATTAGTTTATAAAGCACTATCTTTTTCTCTTCTTTACTTCTAAAAAAGTCAATTTATAACTAATAATGGAATTTTTTTTTTTGCGTTCTTTGTATGTGCAGAGGATTCAAATATATGAACAAGAAATAGAGTAATTATTTTGTGATACTAAAAATTTAACTATTGGATCAAAAGAAATAGAATGAGAAGAAGATAAAGATTGTACTGATTTTCAAATCTGAAAAATTAAAAATTACTTCGATTTTAATATGATTAATGGCAATGATACAACGGCGGTGGGTTGATGGTGTGTGGTGGATGTGATAATCACAAAGAAAGAGCTAAGAAGATGAATAGTGTTTTTAAAATAATTTTTTGGCTTGAAAAAAAAGTTCTTAATGCGCTGACTTTGAGTGTATTACACTCAGCATGTCATGTCAGTAAAAATGTCAAAATGACACAACAAGATCGTACATGAGGGGTTTAAAATGAACATCACCCACTTGAGGTGTCTAAGTGAAACTTTGTGCCAACTCTAGGGGCCACCGATATGGGTTAGGCTTACTTTTGATGTAATTGATATAATTATATTGTCTAGCGTGTTTGGTTGGCTATGTAAATTGTAATTATCCTTTTCAACTCTCAAAGAGCGGAGGGATGACTTTTTCATTTCTTTATTTATTTATTTCTATAATTTAAAATAATCTATTTTTTATTTATTTTATAATTTTCTAAAAGTTAATTTTTTTTTTTACTATTTATATTTCATTTACTTAATTATCATTGTCAACCTTTTACTTCATGTGATTCCATGCTATTTTTGATATTATCTATTCTTTATGTCATGATTTTTTTAATTAGCATAATTTTGTTAGTAATCTAATTTTTAAGTTAGAGTAGAATTCATTGCTAAGGTTGTAGACTTACGTTTGTCTTTTCTTTAAAATCATAATTATGTATGTTATATTAAAAGTTGACATAAGAGTATCATGGTAAAATTTTGTTTTAGATTTAGGACTTATGTTCTATTGAAATTTTACATAATAGCATTATGGTAATTTTTCGTTTTAAATGTATAACTTATTTTCTAACTTTTTAGTTTAATATGTTTAGGACTTGCAACTCCACATTGCAAGTCATTTTTTTTAGTTCGACTTATCTTTTGGTCAAATATTATAAATTTATGACATTTTGTTTATAATATAAATATTTTTACCAAACATACATTTCATGATATTCATAGAAATCTTGTACATTAAGTTTTTATGATTAATTTAATTGAAATATATTAATTTGAAATATATAAATTAATTATTTTTTCATAATATTAGTTAATAAAAATGCTTATTTATTAAAATATTTTCAAAATATAATATGTATCTTAAATTGTAACACTCTGTATCCGAAACAGACAAAAAGTGTAGATTTTCAGAAGTTGCAGGTGCCACCAACAGAAGCCAACTACGGATCGTCAGTCGACTTACAGTCCGTCAATCAGCTCCATTGATGGGCCATCCAAATTTCAGTCTTTAGTCACGAATAAAGGTCGACTAGTACGAACCGTTAGTCAGTTATGTCGATGGGCCAGCCAACTTTTAGTCCTTAGTTCTGAACGACGGTTGACTAGTACGAACTGTCAGCCGACTTATGGTCCGTTAGTTAGCTTCGTTGATGGGCCAGCCAACTTTCACTCCTTAGTTGTGAACGATAGTCACTAGTACGGACCGTCAGTCGACTTACAGTCCGTGGGACTGCTCCGTCGATGGGCCAGTCAATTTCAGTCCTCAGTTTTGAACAACGGTCGACCAGTACAGACCGTTAGTCGACTTATGGACAATCAACTCCGTTAGCGATTCTAATAACTTGTAAGTCAGGGGTCTTTTGGTATTTTCCTTGTTCGTTTGGCTCCTACGCTACGTCATTTAGACCCTAAATCAAGAGGTTTTATTCAGTTTAAGCCTAGAAACAAAACTAGAACTTACATAAGTCAAATCATTAATCAAAACATAGAAAATTAGAAGCAAGAGAGGAGAAAAAGGTCAAGAACCCTAATTCAAAAACCCTACAAGGTTCCATCAGTTCTAGCCGTGAAATCTAAAGATTTCTCCATGGAATTCTTCACCAAATATGTGGCATTTCTCTAGTGGGATCCTTTCAGCCATTGGGTCCCTAGATCTTCAGTCAGATTCATGATTCCCTTATCATGATTAGACCTAGGGTTTCTAGAACTTCAGAAGATTATCATTAATTAGTTAGTTGTATGTTCCAAATCACATTACCATGTTATTACTCAGTTTATTGCATGAATTTCTGAACCCTAGCAATGTATTTCTTTAGTTCTTGAATTGCACATGCCAGGTAAAATATTACAGTTATTTCATATATACATGCATCTGTATTTGAATGCATCTTTACCAAATTAATTGTTGCATTCTCAGTTTGTATGTTCAATTTTGAGGTATCCAGTATTTATAGAAACTCAGTCATAATCAATTAACCACTTAATTAATGGGGAGTAGAATAATACCGAGTTGGACTAGGGTTCAACATACCCGAATAGTACCAGAACTACTAGCCAAGTAAGTAGTAAATTCTCTCTGTAGGCATACGTTTAGTGATCACACAAGCATGCCTCTATACTTATGACAGGGTATATTGGGTCCTCTCGATGGCGCGTATACATCGGACTCCAAATTTTCCTCATGTGGTTTCATTATCGGTTATTAGTAGCCCCCACAATTCAATCATATTCTATTGCATTGACCATTTATTAGTATATTCAATATTCAATTTCATCGTGCTCTAAATTAGTCACTGCATTCAGTTACCTTAGCATTCAGGTTATATCTTTGCTTATTTTCTTTGTTCAGTTATATGTTATTTCGGCTTTAATCTATCCTACATGCTTAGTACCTTTCAAGTACTGATGCATACATGTGATATATCTTCTCGTAATATAGGTTCAAGTTCTCAGCATCTAGATCATGCTTAGATTGATTTTCGATTTCCAAGTTCAGCAGAATTAGTGGTGAGATTTCATTCTTCGTGGACAATAGGCATGAGTTTCTTTCAATATTTTTAGTCCTTTAATTTCAATTTTGATAGAATTAGATGGGCCTTTCCTAGCATTTCTAGTACGTTAGAGGCTATTTTCAGATATGGTTAGTTTCAGTTTAGTATTGAGTTAATATATTCTCTGTATTAAACTCATCAGTTTTCATATATCTTAGTTATAGTATATGGGTATTCCCATCTTCTCATTTTAATTATGATTTAGCTTGCACATCAATTTATTAGCTTTAGTATACTCATGATCATGCCAACAAGGTTAATTTAGGATCACTTGTGGTCCTAGGTCCCGTGTCCGCATCTTGGGGGTAGCTCGGGGCGTGACAAACTTGATATCAGAGCACTAGGTTTAAGTGTCCTAGGATGTCTGAAAAGTCACCCTAGGTAGAGTCCTTTTCATGAGTCTGAAGTGTATACCACATGTAATGAGAGAGAGACTACAAAGTGTCTTAGGAAAATTTTCATTTTCTTGTTACTTTTATTGTGCATAAGGTATGATCTGATTCCATTCTAACTCGATGTTTTATGTTCAATGATCATGCCTCCTCATAAAGCTAACGCCAGGAATGTGAATGATGGGAATGCTAACACAGCTCCTCCAATACCAGATCAGGAAGTCTCCAATGTTGAATTCAGGAATGTCATTAAGATGTTGGCTTAAAGTCTCCAACCAGAACAATCAGCGGGTTCATGCTCCTGTGATTGCTAATGGTAGATCAAGAGTTGCTAGGGTCTGTGACTTTGTTAGGATGAATTCGCATGAGTTCTTAGGAACGTAGCTGGTGAGGATCCTCAAAATTTCTTGGATGTGTAACACCCCAGAAATTTTTTTGAGCTAAGACTCGAACCATTCTTCGTAGTTAGTGAGATTTTACCAATGAATTAAAAAAGTTCTTTAGTATTAAGGTCAGTTAACTAGATTTAGCACATTGAGTTCCAAAAAGAATTAAATTGGAAATATCAAAATCTGAAATTTAGCAAGTTAAGCTAATTATGAGTTTTTGGTCAACTTCAAACGACCATAACTCCTAGCACAAGATTAGTTAAATACTTTACAAGATACCATAGTAAAGATCTTTGAATTATCTTTCCAAATCTGCCTAGTTTGCTAAGTTTAGAGTTTGATGAGTGCGATATAATCTTTTGAAGTTAGGTTGTCTTGTTAAGGAAAGTTAGCCGAAAATAGTGAGAGGTATTTTGGTCCTTTCCTTACCCAATCAGATTTAATTCATTTTTAATAATATTTTTAGGGGTATAATCCTTTTATGTTTAGTTTTACAATCCTAATATACACCTAGAGTTTTAGTTGAGAGTTCAGAAGAGACAAGAAGAGAAAAGAAGATAAAAAAGGAGAAAAGAGGAAAAGGATGA